CGCAGCCCTAAATCCCTCTCTGGTGGTGCTGCTGAGGCCCTTTTCTCCCTCCAGCTCCTCCAAAGTCTTCTGATGCCCGCGACTGAGCATTTTATTCCTCCCCACCCCAGGGGCTCGCCAGCCCACACCAAAAGCCCCAGCAGCTGTACCTCCACCCACGGTGGGCAGAGCTGCTGCTCGCTGCAACTCACAGTTCCTCTGCAAACCCGCCAGCAAAGCAGCTTCCCAGCCAGTTTCAGCTTTTCACTAACACAGGTGTTTTGCTTGGCTTCCTCCCATCTTTTTTCTCTTCCTCATAGTGAACCTCATACCAGCCTGCAGACCTTCCCCCTGTCTCTCTGCCCCAAAAGTCCTCCCCCGCAAGCACCCATCCCATTCCTCCTCCCCAATTTATCCTTTTCACACCCGCTGTAATAAGGCGCGAACACAGAAGGGGAGCCTCCCTTCCAGAGGACGAAGGCTGGGAGCCCATCACTGCCAAAAACAAGAGGAGGGCACTGCCTAGATAAGAAGCTGATCACTTTTTCAATCCTAAGAGATTTTTTGGTTTTTAATCCCTGCTTTTAGCCAGCTGCTCATGGCTTCCTTCTCCTCCTTTGCAGGCCCAGTATTATGGTGAGATTGGCATCGGGACCCCCCCACAGAAGTTCACTGTGGTCTTCGACACTGGCTCCTCCAACCTCTGGGTGCCATCTGTGCACTGTCACCTGCTGGACATCGCCTGCCGTAAGTGTCACCGGTGCCAGCCACGGCTCAACAGCTTCTCCTTCCCTGCAAAATGCAGATCCTGGCATTGCAAGAGGAGAAAATGAGGCAGCAGCGTGAAAGGGCTTGCCAGAGGCTGACGGGCTCTTTAGGGTCAGAGCTGGAAATAGGATCCCAACCTCCCGCATCCATCCTTCATTACTCCCTTCCTGTTTTTTCCCCTCCACATCACCCACGCACAGCTTCAAACCTTCCCCAACAGCCTCAGCCCTGCAGCCGGGGAGCAGCATCACAGCTTGTGGTGTTTCTCCCCAAATTATAGACCGACGCTGCTGTTGCCCCATTGTGCAAGGCTGGTGAAAAAAAAAATCAGCCTCTTGCCAGATCTGATACAAACTGTCCTAGTTTCTGGTTTATTGCCACACGGAGCATGTGTGTGCATGTTTATGGATTTATAATTAACGAGAGCCAGGTAGGCACGATGAGATGAGAACGTCTTAGGGACTACGAGTTTTTTTTGCTCTGTGGCGTTCCTACGCAATAAACCTCCGCAGCTGAAGGTGTCAAACCTGGCTATGGCAAAATGCCATTTAAAAGCCATCGGCTGTGCTGCTTAAGCAGAGCGGAGAAACCTGTGGAGCCAACAAATGCAACCGTGAAAGGCAGCCCACAGTGCTCCTTGGGGGTAGGGAGGAAATTTGGACTTCTTTACGGCCCTGTAGTGCCCAGAGAGGAAACAGACCTTCTTTTTACATAAGTGAAATGAGATTTAGGGTGGTGAGGTCCAGATCTGGTCTGTCTTGGGGGTTCCTGATCTGTAGCAGGGAGCTGGTTTCTCAAGGCAGTAGCGCAGGAGGTGCTGGGTCCAAAGGGCTCGTTTTATGAGTATGCAACAAGCCTAACCTCCTGCCAGACTGGGATCCAGACGGCCCAGCTGGGGAAGTCCCCGTATAGTGTGTCGGTTTTCGTGGTTCGTCCTCAGCCGCTGTCTGCCCCGCTCGGCAAGCAGCCGCAGAGCCGGGCTGGCTGAGCTCGCCACACGCCGCTGCCCAACTCGTGACTCAGGAGGAATCTGCGGAGGAGGAATCTGCCCAGCCATAAAACCAGGGATATCTTACAGTTCCCAACTCTTCCAAGGGGAAAAGCAGCTTAGACTAGGGGAAAGCCCTTCTCCTCTGCAAATAAAAGAATATTTTGAGCCCTTTCTGCACAAAAACCAATAACCATATAAAAAAATTTCCAGCTAGTCTTAGTAAAAGAAACAGGTAAATCCATGAAGTGAAAATGTGCATGCCCAAAGCAGGCTATATTTAAAGCCACGCTGGTTCTCCACGGCATGGGGGGGACGTTTCGCTCTGCTGTCTAACGCGCCCTGACACACCAGCCATGTAGCCTCTAGGCTTTTAATACCCGGTGGCCAAATCCGATTTAACAGCCAAATTGGATCTGCTCACCTAAATCCCCAGACGTTGGAAATGTTTTGTTAAGCAGTCTGGGCTTGGCAAATGCTGGGTTCAGGCCCACTTTCACATCGTTGAGTGTCCGTTTGTCCAGATGAGCCGGGTGGTGTGGGGTTAGGTGTCAGGGAGCCCTAGGTATCAAGGAGCACTAATGTTGTATGTCCTCCTGTGTCCCCCTCCCTGGCTGCAGTGCTGCACCACAAGTACGATGCCTCTAAATCTAGCACCTACGTGGAGAACGGCACCGACTTTGCCATCCACTATGGGACGGGGAGCCTCTCTGGATACCTCAGCCAGGACACCGTCACGGTGAGTGACAACTGCCCTTGCCCCGAGCTGCCCCAGCCTGCTTTCGGCAGAGCACTCAAAGCCATTTGATTTCAACGGGTCTCCCTTCTTGAGTGTCCTACTCGTATAGAGCATGCTTCAGCGCCGTGTTTCCAAGTGCTTTGAAAAGAGGTGGTGATGATGACTGAGGAGGTGACGATGACCAAGGCAGGCAGAGAAGGGGGAAGGTATTAATCAGCAGGTCAGCAGGCTAGGAGCGTGGACCGCACGCGTGGTGCCCTGCAAACTCAGTCTCTGGCCATCCCTCCAACCCTCTTCCTTCTGACCCCAGAAACTGGGGCTGTTTAGCCTGGAGAAGAGGAGGCTGAGGAGGACACCTCATCGCTCTCTACAACTACCTGGAAGGAGGTTGTAGCGAGGTGGGGGTTGGTCGCTTCTCCCAAGTAACCAGCAACAGGACGAGAGGAAATGGCCTCAAGTTGCACCAGGGGAGGTTTAGATTGGACATTAGGAAAAATTTCTTTACTGAAAGAGTGGTCAGGCCTTGGAACAGGCTGCCCAGGGAAGTGGTGGAGGCACCATCCCCATCCCTGGAAGGATTTAAAAGACATGTAGATGAGGCGCTTAGGGACATGGTTTAGTGGGCATGGTGGTGTTGGGTTGACGGTTGGACTCGATCTTAGAGGTCTTTTCCAACCTTAATGATTCTATGATTTCCCAGCCCAAGCGCACACCAGCACCACCGCGCAGGCTGCTGGTGGTGCCCAGCTTGTTTCTGGCCAATATCCACCTGGTAGTGGACATCCACACGGGCAGCTGCCCAAGCACTGGCCAGAAATGGGCTCTTCGCTGCCCCATCCTCGTCTGGTGTCGAGAACCAGTGCTTATGTTTGCAAAGGCCATGTAACATCTGGGGGGGGTTCCCCAGCAGCATTCAGGGCCCAGCTTGAGGTAGCCGGGCTGCTGGTGGTTGCTTCCCATCGTTTCCTTTTCAGTGAGCAAAGGCTGAGCTTTCTGTCCTGTGAAGGACAGGCGCCTTTCGCAACTGCCTCCCAGGTACAGATGCTCGTGAGAGTTTGCCAGCTGCCGAATGTCAGCTGTGCACATGCTCCCGGATTACTTGGTCTCCTGGCAGGGATAGGAGCATATGTTTGCTTTGCGGGGGGGAGACAAAGCAAAAGTTTTGAATAAGCACATAAATCTAGGGATTTGGGGTTTTCCGTGTTAGGTTCAGCTGAAAAGGATTGGCTTACCAATTTCATCGGGATCAAAAGAAAATAGCCAAGAGGAGCCCAAAGTGGATGGCCCGTGCAAGGACCACTCTTTAGCCCATCCTTATAGCAGGAAAATTTCAGGCTAGCCTGGAAGCACCAGCCGTTGCCTCTGCACTGCATCCAAAGTTGCCAGCAGCTCAGGCTGGGTGCAGGACCCTCTTTGGAGGAGAGGGCTTTTGATGGGCTCGGTGAACCCTGAAAATCAGTGCAGACAAGGCTGTGGGGGAGAGCCGTAGGGGCTGCCAGCAGCTTTGCACCTCTGGTTTTGCTTTCTGCCTCCTGCAGCCCACCAAGGTTCAGGACAGTTTCAGTTTCATTTCATGCCATTTATTTCCTGCATCCCTTGGTTCGCTTAGAAACACCCCGCCACAAAAAAAGGCACCCATCCGAGCCTTCCTGCGGCTCTCGCCAAATGAAGGCACCATGTACGTAGCATTACTGGATTCTCTTACGTTAGGTTTGCAAAATACGGACGGAGCAGGCGGAGGCATCTGCATTCGTCACAGTAATGGAGCGGGGCAGCGAGGCAAACAGCGAACTTTATTGTCCTGTGAAAGTGGAGGCTGGTTTAGGCGCTTTCCGGCTTAATGCAGGGGCTGAAGTGAGTCAGAAGGAAAATTGCAGCTTTTTCTTTTTTTTTTGGTTTGTAATTATCACCCTAATGCCTGCTTGCTAATTAGCTCTCTGCTTCCCAGCGGCTCAGAGGAAGGATTTTTGCCTGAGCTTGTTCGGGAAGTGGGGATGGCTCTTGGCAGCCAGCACAGCTTGTAGCATTTGGTTTCTGTCTGGGCAGAAGCAAGAGAAACCTCTTGCCTGGAGCCTGAGCAGTGTCATGTTTGAAGTACGCAGGAGCAGGGGCGACTCAGAGGGTCAGGGACCTTCAGCTTGGACACGAAGATGCTTCCTCTGATGCACAGCATCCTGTAGGCAAGCTCCCAGCTGGGTGTAGTCTGGAAATACGGACATTGAAACAGCCTTCAGGGTGATCCTCTCGGCTCCAGCCATCCCGACGGGTGGAAGCAACCACAGCAGCCGTGGTAGCACTGACATCTGACTGAAAGGCGCTGGTTGGCAGGTGGTCCAGAGTCCCTCAGCCCTGAATTTTTTTTGAAGAGGGTGACGAGCTCATGTCGAACATCCTCTCTCCTTCTGTGGAGGAATGATGCCTCATAGCACCTTGAGGTGCTGCTCGCCCTCCAAAGAGCAGCAGGTTCAGCCAGCCCTCTGCCGCTCGGGCATCTCAGCCCTTTATTGCAGCCCGACCTTGGGATGTCCTTCAAGGACAGCAGAGGAAGGATTGCCGGCTGTGGGGCGCAAGGACTCTCCCAGGTCTGCAGTGCAGGGAAAACGCGCAGGAGATGCCCCTCCTCGCCCCTCCCCTGTGGCTCTGCAGAGCCCCGAGTCCGGTGCCAAACCCTGCCGCGGAGGCCCTTGCCTCTAGTCTGCCTTCACCATCCGGCGCTTGCCTGCTCGGCTGAGGCCGCTAACAAGGAGGCCGGGCGAGCTGCGGGGCGCCGACACCTGCCTGCAAAGCGCTGGAGGGCAGCCACCACGCAGCCATCCACTGGTAATGATTTTCGGTCGCTCCGTGTCTGGGCGAGAGCCAGCCGAGGGACGGAGACGAAGGATCTGTCACCTGGCGCCAGCGCTCTGCTAAAGATGTTCTTGGGTTTCAGTCCTGCTGAGGACCAGGCGTGGGCGGGGTCTGCTGAGACCCCACCACCGAGCAGATTATCTGCCTCCCTCTTGGGATGTGCAACCAGGGCAATATTCAAACAGTCCTGGAGCTCAGTTTTATCAGTCCATTGCATTTTATTTTTTTTTAAGTGGAAGCCTTATCGAACTTTCGGAGCTGCTGCAGGACCAGCTGTGCCAAGTGGTGGAGCGGTGGCTTTCGTAAACCTGCGGCATACAACTGGGGTGCTCGCCACACGCCGGCGAGCGGATGCGTTGCTGCGAGCTGTTTCGCCTCACATCCTGCCCTGTGGCTTTTAGCTTTTGCAAGGCTCGATCGCCCTTTCCTAGCGCAAGCCTCTGATACCATTAAAGCCAACACTGCCCATCCCAGCCTTGCGCTGTCTAACCCTGGGGGGCTATTAGTAATTTACAGGGATCGTTATCTGCCATCAGGTAGGAGAGGCCAGCTTTTCAGTCCAGCCCGGTTCACTACAGGGCTGCTAGCTGGAGGCTGAGAGGCTGAAATCGTCCTAGCGCAGATGCTAAAATTGCCTGTGGTCAGCCAGAAGCTCGGAAACCTCCTGAACTGCTAGAGCCAGGAGCCAGCAGACACGTCCTACCCCCCGTCAGCAGAGCTATCCTGTTTTCTGCCATCTCCTCCTTTCCAGGGATCTGCCCTTGCGGGGTGGTTCAGCTTTTCAGCGGGGAACGCCAGTCCGTCTTGTGGCTGGCAAGAGAAGTGACCTTTGCATTCACAGTACTCCGCTTGCTATTTTTGTGCTTTGGGCTCAACCTCGCTTTCCTGGCTGGGTCTTCTCCCCTCCCACGGGAGGTCTCTGCAGGCTGGTGGCTCTGCCGGGAAGTGCAGCAATATCCTGGGGATGTTTCTTATGTAGGGGAGATCGCAGGGGTCGTTGGCAGAGGTGAGGGATTTGTGCTCCCGACCAGGGACGGGTGCAGCACCCGAGGAGGTAGGGCACGGAGATCACTTAGACGTTCAGGGTGGGGAAGAGGATTAAAGGCGCAGCACAAGAGCTTTTCGGACTGGGAGGAAAGGACGATGTAGGCAATCGGGGAAGGGATGTAGGGGGGACGAAGTGATACAGGGCCCTCTGTGCAAAGAGGAGGAGCTGCAAAATGGCATGGCCAAGTGCCGGGACCCAGCAAAAGGCTGAAAGTATTGAGCAAGAGCAAAGAGCAAAGGGGGCCTCCTGCCCGTAGGGGTGCGCTGGGCTTTGCAGGGACGCAGGAGGTGCCACTGTGTGGCTAGTGTGGCCTGTCGTCCCCCCCCCCGAGGAGAGTGGCACCAGGGTATCTGGTTTCTGCAGCTGCCTACAAATGCAAGGGTGAAAGCAGGCAGGAGTGTGGCAGCGCATTGAGGGACAGTCTGCCTTCAGCAAGATCCCGTTCCCGCCCCAGTCCCCTGAGTCAGTTTTCTTTACAATCTGCTTTTCACTTCCCTCCCCATCTCCCCTCAGCTCGGTAACTTGAAAATCAAGAACCAGATCTTCGGGGAGGCCGTGAAGCAGCCAGGCATCACGTTCATTGCTGCCAAATTCGATGGCATCCTGGGCATGGCATTCCCAAGGATCTCTGTGGACAAGGTCACCCCTTTCTTTGATAACATCATGCAACAGAAGCTGATTGAGAAAAACATCTTCTCCTTCTACCTGAACAGGTAGTGTTGGGTTTGGTGGCTCACCTCTCGTTGCGAGGGCATTTCTCTATGCCTCCCGGTAGCACCTCTTGCCGTGTGCCAGTTTACACCCTGGTCAGCACCGTTGGGGAGGTCTCAGCAAGGTCTGGAGTAGTTGGGCCAAAATCTCTTCTGTTTACTGCGTTGAAGTAAGAAGGGAAGTAAAAATGCAGCCATTTTACTGATAAAAAGCTGGGTAGATCTGCTACCAGATTTCTTAACTGATGAAGAGACAGAGGATGTTTCCAGAGGAAAGAGAAATAAAAATAAACAGGGTTGTGATCATGAGAGTGCACGCTGCTAGTGCAGTCCCCGTTAGGGGCGTAAACACAGCCCCAGTTTGTTGCCAAAATCTGTGAGCTATGTGGCCACCACCATGTCACTTCCCAGGCAAGCGTGGCCCCCACCCGTCATCACTAATGATGGGGCTAACACTCCCTCACCCTCCGGGAAATCCTCCTGCGCAGCTCCCAATGCCTTGCCACCCGCTGCTGCTCCCCCCAGGACACCCCACCACCCCCCTGGCACCGCAGGGAGGACTCTGAACTACTTCAGCCCAAAAAGTAGCACGCCGGGAGCGGGGAGGGCAGAGAGGGCTGCTGCTGGCCGCTCAAGTGCCAGCCCTCCCCCATCACCATATTTCTTCCCATCTGCTCAGCAGCGAGCTTTTATCTGACAGTAACCTTGAAGATTCGGCTCCAAGGCTGCTGGCTGGTACAGAAGCGGGGGGAGATAA